TTGGTTGGCTCTCTGTGGTGTAGTGTATGTGGTGTAAGATTAGTTTAGAAGGGTTTTTTTGCGTGTGTGTGTGTGTGTCTTTGTTTGACTGTTTTTTTTTTCTTGCATTATTGTTTTTTAGGACTGCATTGTTTTCCTTTCGTTAGTTCAAATGTGCATTGTCATTTCCTTTTAACTTGGAGGGAGATGTGAGATTGTGAGATGGAGTACCATCGTACGATATGTTTTCCCATGTGTGGAGGCAGGAGTTTGTCTGTGGCAGCGCCAGGTTGCTAGTCACTGTCTGATGCTGCAAAAGTGAAGTCTGCAAAGAACCTGGTCTATTATTCAAACCTCTCACATATATTAAAGAAAAAGTATTGGAATTTTCTAATGAAAAAGGGGGGTCCAGACCATCAAGCCCCCCCCTCCCCCCAGATCCACCCTTGCTTTTTCTTGGGAATTAGGGAATTAAATTTCCTAGCTCCTGGTAAAACAAAAAAGTCAAGTTTCAGAAGAAAATGGGTAACAACTGATGGAGGAAGTGAGTGAATATATGTATTCTTGCTAAATCTTGTAGGACGAGTCAGCTAACTAATGCAACAAACTACGTAGATGTTATTCTTGTCATAACTAATGGAGACTGCATTTCCATTCTAAACAATAAACAGAGTAATATCTCCATTAGCCGTAATCCCTCTTAACCGGAACTCTCCAATAGCTGGAATTAAAATTTGCTTTGGATTGTTCAAGAAAAATTTTCAATTCTGGGTTTGGGAACAATTTCCACGGTTGAAAATCAGGTACATTTAATGAAATTTTTAAGAAAAATTCTGGAAATCTCGACACATTTTTTATTTCTGGGTCTGGGAATAAATTTTTAGGGCATTCCAAAAGATAGCATCGTGTTCCAAAAGATCCAAACATGCTAGGAGTGTGGGTGGCCCAGCTGTTTGGATCGCTTGGGTCATATTCTGATGCCATTGTACAAGGTTGTTCCCTGGCTAGCTGCTCTTTTTGTGTACAATTTGTGTTGAGCAGTGTTGTACATTATTGTACCAGAAAAAATCAGCCAAGAATACAGTGTTAAGAACATAAAAAGTGATTACAGTTATGTATACAGTGACCCCTCGGTTAACGAACTCAATCCGTTCCAGAAGGTCGTTCGTTAACCGAAAAGTTCGTTAACCGAAACCATTGTTTCAATGGGTTTTTGGGTAATTGGTTCCAGCTCACCGAAAATTTCCTAAATTCAACAAAAATGGTAGAAAAGTTCACTTACTTTGAGGTGTGTATGTAGAAGGCTCCTGGATGATGATGATGATGATGATGGGAATTAGAATGGGGGTGGAGGAGAAGGAAGAAGAAAAGGCATTGGGGTGGAAGAGAAGTCACCCCATGGCACCATTTCATCCATAAAATTTTAGTTCTCTTGGTGTATTTCAAGATTATTTTCTTTAAATCAACACTGCACTGCATTATATATTGTCGCTAAGTAAAATATATTTCAAAATGACCAATAATTTGCTTGGAAACACAGAAAAAAAGCATTTAGTTGAAGAGAGTCTCAAGCAAGATGTTACCTCCACTGAAAACAGAGAGAGACTAACGCTTGTCTGGTGTGTTAACAGGCTGGATGGCACGCCAGAAACTAGTTTCTTTACCTTCAATTATGTTCAATAATTGTTAAAATGACTAAAAAATTTAATATTAAACTTTTAAAATTTTTGAATAGTATAAACTTCTTGATATTTGCTAAAATAGTAAGGAATTTAAGCCCTAGAACCGATTAATGTATTGGCGGACTGATACTAAAGCTGGTTGCCCGGTCAGTATATATATATATATATATATACAGTCAACCCTCGCTTTACGAGGTCCCACTTTACGCGTTCCCACGTTTACGCGGTACCCTGCCGAAACCGGAATGCTCACTTTCCGCGGTGCGTATACCCCTTTACGCGGAGAGCGGCTGGCGAGCCGCGCCATTTTTAGATCCAAACCTCCCGCCATCTCTCCCGCCCTCTGCCATGTTGTGTAAGCGGCGCGAGTAGGTTGCGCAGTGTGCGTCTTTGTTGCGTTATCAGTGACGTCATATGACGTATCGGACTGTGATTGGGCCATGCATCCTTACCTCCCTCCGCTGCTAGCTGTGATTGGTTTAAAGTAATATGACGTGTCCACCCGCGAGAGGGAGGGAGGAAAGACGACGCTTGACCTAGCCGCGGCAGTTTCATCCCTCCAGGCCACACAGTGTATACGTGAAACCATTGTTCTGTAAAATGGCTTCCGCCGGACCACCGCCCCCAGAGAGAAACCTTTCCTTACCTGGACCCAGCCGCCCTAAGCCAAAGAAGACACGACGTTCCTTAAGCTACGAAATTAAATATAAGATCATACAAGAGTTGGAGAAATGAACAAGACAGGTTGATCTCACGCGCCAGCATGGTGTTAACGAGTCTACGATCAGGACAATTAAGAAGGATGCAGCCAAGATAAAGGAGCACATGAACATCACAAAGTCTACAGGTGCTTCTATGATCAAGTATTGCCACAACCAGGTGCTTCTCAAGACATAAAAATTACTTGTGAGCTACTTGGTGCGTCAGGCGCGACGGAACATGGCGGTGGACACGCGCTCAGTTAAGGAGTACGCACGTGAACTGTATGCTGCAGTGTCATGAAAGATGGAATTACAGAGCCCAAACCCTTTAATGCTTCCTCTGGGTGGTTACAGAGGTTTAAGAAGAGAAACAAGATCACCAATATCAACATTGTTGGTGAAGAAGCTAGTGCTGACCGTGTTGCGGCTAGGAAATTTCCTCCGTTTTTACGTGAGATTATGGAAGAAGGACAGTACACCGACGACCAGGTGTTTAACATGGACGAATCTGGTTTTTTTTGGAAAAAAATACCTTCCAAGACCTTCGTTGTGAAGAATGCCAGCAAGTGTCGGGGCCGGAAGTTGCAGAAGGAGCGCATCACCGTCCTGTTTGCCACCAATGCCTCCAGTACCTGTAAGCTCAAGTTATCGGTGATCCGCACAGCACGCAAGCCTACAAGAGCATGGACATGACCAAGCTAAATGTCCACTGGCTGACCGCACGTAAGGCGTGGATGTTCTCTACACTGTCCCTCTCTTGGTTTGATGACTGTTTCATTCCCGATGTGAAGAAATTCTGTGAGCAACAGAATGTGCCATTCAAGATTTTGTTGCTGCTGGACAACGCACCAGGACAGTCGCCCCTTCTGTTAGATCGTCACCCCAACTTAAAAGTGGTCTTCCTTCCTCCCAACACTATGTCTATATTACAGCCCATGGACCAAGAGTTATCTGTAATGTAAAAGCTGCATTCTCTACTAAAAAATTCAAGCTCCTGAACAACTACACCAACACCAAGGAAGAGTTGCATAACCTGAGTGACACCAACACCGATAGCAAGAGCGAAGACGACGAGGATCAACAGTTGGCAGAGCAAGAAGTACTTTTAAAACAATTCTGGAGAACATTCAACGAGGTTCAGACCGTTGCAGTAGCAGTGGACCTTGCCAGAGAAGCTGCGCAGAGTGTTACAGCTGCAGGCTTCTCCGAGACCACCAACGACGACATCCTGGAGGTGATAAGGGATCCTGATGTGACTACCGACAACATGGTAGATGATGATGAAGTCAGTGAAGAGGCAGGTGGTGCGTCATCCCAAGAAGAACGCAAGTTATCCCATAGTAATGTAAGGGGTGCCATCGAGTGTATCGAGAAAGCCAAGCTCCTCCTTTCCGACGACCCTGACGCAAACAGGTATGAAATCTTCACTACCCAGCTGTTGCAGACTATGAAACCCAAAATCAAGGTTTATCACGACAACATAAACACCAGCCGTCAGCAAAGCATAACGGAGTTCTTCACCCGCAACCCACCACAGCCAGCCCAAGCCAGTGATAGTGTCAAAGGTAGAGGCAGTGATGATGACTTTGAGGGATTTGTCAGGGAGGCACTAGTAAGTGTGGATGACACCGATGAAGACTCACCTGAGGGCCAGTAGCCTGCCCTCTGCCTCGGAACCAGCCTCCATTCCCCTACGCCGACCCATCTCTTCTACTAACGGAAGTGTTAAACCCAGCCTTGTTTTTTTCTAACCTAACCTTCAGTTTATTCTTCTCTTATTGATTGTACCCTTCTATATTATGTGTGGGTGAATACCATCATAAAGTTAGAGGTTATTTTTAGTAAAACGTACGTATTGTGTCGGGAAAAAGTGGAGTTTGGGGGTCAGCCCGGTCTCTATTTCAATTAATCCCATATGTTATGTTGTTCACTTTACGCGGGCCGCCGTGGGTTGAATTAACCGCGTAAAGTGAGGGTTCACTGTGTGTATGTATGTATGTATGTATGTATGTATATATACACATATATATATACATACATACATATATATATATATATATATATATATATATATACATACATATATATATATATATATATATATATATATATATATATATATATATATATATATATATATATATATATATATATATATATATATATATATATATATATATATATATATATATATATATATATATATAAGGTGCAGATAGTACTTGCCTGCAAATATTGTATGATTATTTTCATGATCTGTGGATTGAGGCTAGCTGGAAGGGGCAAAACAAGATACATGTATTTTTTTATTAACCAAGTGCAATAACATGGGAACCAACTACTGCTGCTGCCCCTTGCATTTTTCCAAAGAATGTATAAAATGATGGATTGACACCTTTACAATGCAGTGGTAACTTAGTCAATTTTCTTATAAAAAAACCACACACAGGATTTACTTTTACTGTGAAACAATAATAAGAGTATTAACAGATCACCTCTAATGAGCTCCTTTCATTGTCGTGTGTAAGTATCTCTTCCCTGTACCTTTCTTCTTTATTTTCACAATCTCTGTAACTCAACACTCTGTTGTTTTATGACCACTTATTTCACCAGATAGACCACAAATAAGAACCAAACAAATATTTCCCATTTAATTGTTAAGAACTCACTTGCCTCGCCATACAGTACCAAGTGATACAATTGATGTCCACTCTACACCCAGCAAACAGGGACCACAACTGACAACCATATTACCTTTGTATCCAGAAGGCTTTTATCTTAAAAACAAAACTTCTTATATATGGACAGTGAGGAGTAACTTTAATAAGTCCATCATTTCATCACCATGTTATGTTGATTGAGACAAGACAGTGATTCTGGGCTTCAACATCCCTTGAATGTTTGCAAAATCAAATGTCATTTTTTAAAAGCAGAAAATGTGTAAATAACTTAAAAACATATACAGTACAGTATATCGTAGTAGAAACTGCCTCCAATACAAGTTGAGTAACTATACAAGGTAAAACAGAAAAAGTTAAAATACTTTTGACATTTTTGGGAATAATAATGTACAGAACAGGATTGCCTTTTCTTATATTGTTTGAACATACATAAAAACAGATAAGTTTTAAAGATACTTTATAAAATCAGTCAGCATATTGGTATGATCGTCAAATAATATAAAATAATATCAGCCAAATATTAAGATTATACATAACTAAAGAAATTAAAAGTGCATGATTTCTAACAAATTCCTTAGAACATTTTCTTTCAATAACTGTTCTGCAAAAATGATCTATTCCATTTTGGTAGAAAATTAAACACAGACCTGGTGTGCTTCACCTTTACTATCAAGAGTATCGTATCATTATGCCTGCTATACAGAGGATCGGACAAGTCTACCACAGCAGCGAGGCCCAAATTCTTAGTATGTCGTACAAAATTTGTTGGCCTACTGCACCCTTGGCAAGGTTAGAGGCATCTTAATATAAGACAATGTTAGCCTGATTATGGGAGACGTTCCATAAGCAGGGTTGAGGCCACCCGACCCACTTGTTTGCTCACCTACATCCTGCACCCCTGCTTGACGCTGATTTACATACATGCCTCATACGGAGGATCCTGACTTGTGATGCCATCATTGTCACTGGAACCAGTGTGGTGAACCTGGTGCACAGGAACCCATGCAGTAAACCTGGTGCACAGGAACCCATGTAGTAAATCTGCTGCACAAGCATCCAGAGCAAACCTGGTGCACAGGAACCCATGTAGTAAACCTGGTGCACAGGAACCCATGTAGTAAACCTAGTGCACAGGCATCCATGAAGTAAACCTGGTGCACAGGCATCCATGTAGTAAACCTGGTGCACAGGTATTTGTAAAGTAAATCTGGTGCACAGAAGTAGCATATTGGAAGCCAAACAGGGAGAGCAGGAGGTGGTGTCACATTACTTGCCGTCGATAACACTATTGGCTGGTGGAACAGAGTCACAAGGGGGAGACATAAATGAACTCTACAATTATGTCACAATGAAAGATAACCTACAAAACAAAGGTGCATCTCTAAAATGGAGTAAAAATAAATTATATTCATAATCACTGATGCATATGTATGACATCTTACAGATGTGGCTAAATATACAGAAAAACACAGTGCCTAGTAGCCTCAATAAAGTAAAGGGGATGTAACATCACTGTTCAAGATGAATCATGAAACAGTGGGGGGGGGAGGGGTAACAGGGAGCTTTATTGAGAAGGTGGGAGAGCAAGGGGGAAGGAGGAGAAGGGAGGGGGATTGTACTTGGTATACAGCCAGCTGGACAGGGTTCTACTGACTTCTAGGAGGGCCTGCATTTAGTATACAATTTTAATGATGGACAAAATATTGCAATCAGGCTACAAGGCTAATTGTATGTTATATAACACCAGCCCTGTTGTTTTATTTGCATTTCCACAGTTGGTACATATCAACACTGCATCTTCAATTCACTTTAAAAAAAAAGAGGAAAAAAATGCATTTAGTACCATAAAAGGATCATCTCCCTTTCATTAAACAGAAAGAGAATAAAATGATGCATCTATCTTCTGCAAATGACTGCTCGCTCTCGCTCTCTCTCTCCAGTGGCAAAACCATTTTCATTTACACCTCAAATATATGGTATACAATTTCAAGAAATAAGCAAGTAAACTATGATAATAAATGAATATATATATATATGAAGAGAAACCAAAACTTTTCAATGGTGACTTGAAGAGTTGCAGTTTCTGTGTTCCAACCTACGGAAAACTACCAAATTGCTCTGTCGATATCTTGTAAAGCCAACGTTTTATATTTCAGGGCTGATGGGAAACCAACTTCATTGAGTGGTGCAATATTTACATAACTATTAAAATGAATGTTTAGAAAAGAGCCATCCCGTTGTGCACGATGACACAACACCGCAGGTCATCAGGGCATGTGGTCCTTGGTACCATTACTATCCCAAGTTCTGCAGTAGTGCTGGTGGAATAGGGTTGAATAGTCACTTCTCATGCAGGATAATTCATAGGATCTCTGCTTCCTCTTACAAATATTTGTGGTTTGAGCAGTTAAATCAGCAAAAGAACATATGATTCCTCCAAATGTCCCCTCTCAGCAATATGTACTATCATGGACATTGAGAGGATTAGCAACCATCTGTCTTTATGTACACTCACGTCAGAACCACTGGACACAGTCATCATCATACTAAGACACTTGCACAGAGATTACTGGTTCCTCCAATCAGTCTCTTGGCATCATCAGAGCTGAATGAACCAAACTAAAAATCCATCCTTTATAAACAAGAGTCAAAAGCACTTCTGGTCAAGAATAGGGCCTCCGGTGACCCCCAAGGCGAACCCTGGTATGTGCACTGCCCACCCTCAACCCTTGCCTCATCTGACCACTCATGTGCTATGGTGACACTACACTGGCTAAGGACCAGGTGAGCTGATCTGGAACATTTCTTTAACAGTTGTCATTCTATGGAGACATCTTTGGTATCTGCCCTGATTCTGATCACCATCAAGTGCATATGTGTGAATGGTCAAGTGAGAGGTCGGGTTACTGCTCCCTGATACCATGCGGTTCTCCTGCTTGGGTGAGTTGGCCCAATCAGACAAACTGACTTTCTACCAGAGAGAGGGCTGAGGGAGCAGTTTTGGCTCTTCCCGTGTTCATGAATTAAGCCATGGGTGTTTGAGGGACTCTCCAGCGGTGGCTCGCTCTGATGTGTCAAATGCCAGCATGGGATTGAGGAAATCACTAAAAGCACGAGCCTCTTCTTCTGGCCACTCGTATTTCTCCGTCAGCACCTCAAACATGCCCCACGGACGGAGCTTTGTGATATGCTTCAGGTCTCCTAAAAAATATAAAATAAATTTGCTTTACATTTAAATCAATGAATAAAACTTAACAATCTACAACATTAAGAATATTACAACAACTAAGTACCAATACAGTGTTATGTTTTTATGCTATTTTGAGGAAAACTTTAGTTTTATGAAAACAATATCTATTTCAAGAAATAAAAAAGTAAATGGTTACATGATGCAATAAGTACCAGCAGCTCTTTTAAAAGCTAATGTTTCCATAGTGATTATAGACTGGAGGCCACATACCTAATGTTCTGCTTAAGACAAAGAAAGACACTTAAGATACACAGTAGCTTATACACCTGAATGTCTCACAATATGGCATCTGTTGAAGTTTGTGAGGCAAAACTCTACTTGGCCCAGACTGGAATACACCATATCCTGTAACTCTGATACTGTCAATAATGTTCTTCCAGTTTCACATTACTCTGGGTCAAACTTCATCTGAGATACTATAAGTAATAAAGATCATGTCTTCTGAAATGATGTCAACTACTTTGATGCTGAGGTCAAAGATGAAGGTCTCCTCTGCATTCACTTAACCCAAGTACCTTTCCTGCCAAGTAATTTAGTCTATGTTATGTCATCCCTAATAGCTGTCAAATTTAATATGAAAAATAATTACAAAAATAACAGTGATATGACTACAGTACAAGGGGTCCCCGAGTTATGAACAGGTTCTTTTCCTGAGGATGTTCTTAAGTCGGAAATGTACACAAGTCGGAACACATGCTATGTGCATATACTTACAGAACAATGTTTAAAATCTCACTATATCATAGCCTAAGTCCTTATATACATCTAAAATTCTATAGGAGGAACTTTAAAATATAGTAAAGCATAAGTTCTCCTTATGAAGCTGGAGGAAACATTTAATCTACTTCCTTTTGAAGAAAAAAATAATACATACCGTATACTCTTGAGACATTACCATACAGTACTGTATATCACATCCATTACATGGAATATATTGAAATAACTTTAAATTAAAAAATTATCAGCCTAAGGCTCTGAGCATTCCTTAATCCTATTTAATTTAAGAAGCTCTGTGATGTAGTCCATTCTCTTAGTGAAACTGACTTGTGACAAGTTCTAAACTTGATAACAATTTAAAGATATGAATCACCCAGAAACTCAATTTTGAGATACTACTGTATAGGTACTGTTGAGTACAGATTTAAGTGTAAAGTGATGGTCATTAACGACAGCATAATATAGGTGGTGCCTGAACCTAAATATGAATACAGAATGTTTATTTCCACATACATACCCTTTTTATCAAAGAATTCCTTTGAGTATTTGCCAGACTGAGCTATATGGCGTGGAATTTTTCCCAAAAGTTCAATGATGTGTGCTAAGTGGTCCTCATCCCGTGAGTAGTCGGCCCCACTATGTGGCTCGAACAAGTAGTCTCCAGTTGCTAACTCAAAAGCCTGAAGAAAAAAACATCATCAAAATGCAAGAATATCAACACCAAGAAAATTCAAATTCATGGGAGTACATTTATACTGACGATACTGTATTTATAGCATCATAGTTGGAACTCCATTATTGTGAAAGAGTGAAAATGGATCTCATAATCCTGATGGTCTGTTGGAAGCAGTTTGGATACAAGATACAGTAGACTCAACTTTCAGTACAAGAAGGTGTGGTGTGACTTACAATACACTTGAATGCCTTCAATTCCCCAGTTATGAAGTCAGGTAGTACCCATTCACAGCTAGGTCGACAGGGGGGGTACCCTGGATGTAAACCAGCAACCCCAGGCATAAAAGACAAGTTACATATCTACACTATTGTTGCACTGCTTTCTGTCCTTGTAAGTTTCCTCAAATACTACATGTACATACATGTTTGATGTTCTAATGCCTCCCAGAGTTATAATTTTATCCAACCATACCAATTTACAACTATAATTACCAGTATTTTCACAAATCAATAGACATACTTGATTTATGATAATACTGTTTTAAATAAGGTGATGAACTTAGAATTCCTGGGTAAAGGCAGAGCCTGTTCACAAAGGCAGTCAATAGTTCTTCTTTGTGAACTATACCAGTATGAATATACGCCATGAATTTTCAGTTTAAAATGAAAGGTGAAGGATCAAATGGTGGGTGAAGACCGCTTTTCCTCCATAGAGGTTTTTAACATTCCTTTAAGCAGAATAAACCCAATATGCATTCAAATTTTGAATTTCTGTTGGACCTCAATATTTGCAAACCAATGACTGGTGCACACATTTAAAAGTGCTTGGCAATAGTTCTCAAGAGGTAGAGCTTATACCATGAGCTGTACTGTCTACTGTATATGTTGCTGTTTTTTTTTAAATTGGTTATTTTGCAAAATTCCCGGCATGCATAATGCATATTGGTAATTTTACAAAATAACTTACAAACAGGTTAAACAAGGTAAAAAATAAAACAGGACCACTTAACTGTGTATCAATCTACACGAGCCATACTATCCTATCCTAACAACCTAACCATAAGGTTAGGTTAGTTTAGGTTGCCTGTTTGTAAGTTATTTCGCAAAATTACCAATATGTATGGCATTAATTTTGCAAAATAACCGATTTGTAACTGTTAGCATGCTCGCCTTGCAAGCAAGTGGTGGACCCAGGTTCCATACCTGGACTGGGTGAAACTATGGACAAGAGTCTTTACACCATTTTCCTCTGTCTACCTTTCAGTAATTGAGAACCTAGATATTAATCAATTTATGGATAGTGTTCCGCGGTAATGGTTAGCCAGAGCTGTTGGTCAGTTATCCGGTCTTCTCAGACTCTTACTTGGCGTTGAATCATATACTGTAGCTCATTAACTTAGGGTGTGGTTGGTGTACTGGTGACAGCTTTTACACCTTAAAAAAAATCATGCCGAGGTGGCCCTAGAAATGGCACCATTTTTGAGGTGCTTGCATGGCTGTGTTGTTGTCTGGTTACCATAACGACGATGACAGCTCGTTTCATGGCCAGAAAAACATGTACAGTACTCCTAGTTCAACTCGTGATTTCTTGAAGAAATTATTATTTCTTGTACTTATTGGCTAAATATAAATTTGTAGAAAAGAGATTCAGCTTTCTAATGGTGCAAAAAAAATGAAATATCTCCATTACGGTGCATCCTACATGTATGTGCACAACAATATCTCGCATGATTTGCTCCATTTTCTATGTAGCAAAATGAACCCCGCCCTGGGCAGACAGCGCACATAAATATACCCGCCCTTCATGTGCTAGACTTAAGTATCTTCTTGACTAGAATATTATTTTTGAGGGATGGGGATTTCCAGGCAGGAAAGAAACCCCCTAAATATACCCCTGCCTTGATCAACTTCACATGGAAGTTGAAGGAGTAATAACAATTGATAGAAAGATTTGAATAGCACTAACCATACAAGCAGTACTCCACACATCTGCAGGGGCCCCATAACCAGCTCCTAACAGCACCTCTAGGCATCGATACTGCCGGGTTTGAATGTCTTCTGTGAAGTGATGGTCCACCCAGCAGGCATTGCCCAGGTCGGCAATTTTAACTCTCATGTCGCACACCTCGTGGACAGGATCAGGAACACGCTCTATGGCTTTATGGTCGGGGCAGGAGGCAACTCTTCGCATGCCACTCCCACTACTGCTGCTGCCTCCACTGAAGTTACTGAAGTTGGCACCTACGTCGTCACCATCTGTGTGAACGTTCAAAGTATTTAGCATTAAGGAAATGTAATTTAAGTATTTTCCATATAAAAATTAAGAGAAAGCAATAAAAACTAATCCATTATAAATGAGCTTCAAATTAACGTAATTCTCATTAACTGATAAAAATACAGCTTCGAATAACTACATTTTATTTACTTTTCCTAATATATTTCTAACTTGTATGAAGAGCAATGTGTACAAGACAATTCTTCATGAATACCAAGTGGTAAAACATAAATATTAGCACCTTCATCCTCAGGGGGAAGCCTCATATCTGGAGTTATCTCAGACTCTGAGCGGCCCAGCGTGGGGCGGGGGCTGTCGTGGCCATTCATGAGTGGGTCTAGTGAGAGGCCCACCGCCCCACCCGGCCGCACATCTCCTTCACACATCTCTGCCAGACTCTTGCGGTGTTCTGCAGGCCAATCACAAAACACATGTTAGTCATGCACCTATTGCTACTCGCATTAGTTCGCAACTTGTAAAAACATATTTGGACTGGATAAGTAATAACTTTAAGTGTGAAGCGGAGGGTATGATAATACAGGTATGAATCACATCAGCATTTTCAAGGATTAGTTCATACAACTCAAGCCACATGTTTCTTACAGGGTAAGCCAACAAGAGGTTTAATGGTACATCTAAGTAGTGTGGTGATCACTTGCATTAAATGAGACCATTGGGTTCTCTGCTATATAATGTATATGGTATGGGCAACAGGAAGGTATTACCCATACTAACTACAATTTACTTAAGCTCAGGAGTCATCAGACAAAGGTGAGATTCTTTTATAATTACTTTCAGCACACTAAAGAGGTCGTCTTTACTATATAAAAAAACAAAATTATAATTCTAACCAATTATCTAAATATTAAATGGTGTGAAATTGTCTTTAAATGTGCTGAATTATGTACTGCACTTAAGTTCTTTCTCAGATATTACAGTGATGTGTACAGATGCATGCATGTGAAAATATAATATACAAGAGTGAATACTTGTTCCAAGTTAAGTTTTAATATCTAATATGAATCTGGAAAGAAATGCATTTTTTGCTTACTTCAAATCCTTATTTACATAGAATAATATTCATATTGACAACCACTGTACACTTGAGCCCTTCTAATTTGTCCTTAACTAATTCAGGCTTTGCAGTGTCAAATTACTCAGCAATTTTAGGACACTGAGACTCAAATGTTTGAATTACACCTTAGTTGTCAAATTTACCCATCCTTACGACAAGTTGAAAATTGTGTTCCTGCATGGAAGAACAATGCCACAGGCATAGCTCTATGAGGAGGCTCCATGTGAACATCTTTGAGCAGGCAAAAGTCAAGCAAGAAGAATAAATCTTCATTTTAAATAGTACGACCACAATAAATGCAGGCATAAGGTTGGGTAATAAAAGAATATTGGACCCCCATCACTGAGATGCATGACAACTGTACAGTGCCTCCAATAAACTACTGTACCGATAGTTTAAATGTCAGAGAAGTTTACAATCAAAACATCCCTGATTCCAACCAAACCCACAGATCAATTACCTGGCTAAATATCCCATAGATTTATACTGTATATATTTTAATATCTTGTGAGTTTATACTTGAAATTACTCTTTTTTTTTTCAATAAAATGTGCTGGAGTGAATATTCGTGTTTATCTTTTATCAGCTTTACAACACTTCATTTACCACTAAAGTATTACCCTGTATATAGATTTACACTTAAATATCTTAATATGTGGCAGGTATATACAATAAAACTCTCTTTATCCAGATTAATTGGAAGGAACTCCAGTCCATATTAAGTGAATTCCTGATAAAGCAAATTCCAGAGGGGTTTATTTAATCTGGAAAAAGTTTGGATTAACCAAGAAAAATCAAGACTACAATTCGGATTGCCGTCTGGCACACATGAACCCCAGCCCCAGTCACTTTGTTTACAAGCCAGTCACACTGCTACAACCCCCATGTGTGCATCTCTTAACTCCTGTGGACTATTTGTGATTTTGTGGACTAATTATCATGGCATCCAAAGATAAGACAACTTCAAAAGGAAGTCAGAAATGAGTTTAACTTGAAGGACAAACAAGAATTATATACATTATACTGCTGGTTAGTTATTCAGAAGTGTTTAATTGTTTTTCCACCACACGTGTAGATGCGGACTATTTCATGTTAATCCGGACTCAATCTGGATGAACAGAAATTAGTCTGGAGTGGTTTGCCAGTCTGGATGAAGCAGAAATCTGAATAAAAAGACTCCGGATTAAGAGGGTTTTACTGTTGTGAAAATAGTAACTTAAGAAATATATTACAGTACTGTACTGTATATATCTTCTAATAAAATGTTCTGGAGGGGATATTAGTGTGTTTACCTTATGTATAAATAATGTTAATACTATACCTGTAATTGAGATGTAGTTCTATTTTATTATCATATGATTATCTTTGTTTCACTTCATTAGATCACTACTGTTAGAGAGTTCTGAAATAGTGGTATACATGAGTCTGGTGTAGTTGTATAGGCTGTGGAATGCATTGATATTTTTCATATTTAAATAGCTGCCATTTTATGTTATTTTGGTTGGTGTGTCTAATATGGCAGTAAATGAGGTTAAAGCCATGCAGGATATAAAAGTCTATTCCTTGTGGACAACCTGAAAATACTTGACAGGATTGAGCCAATTTGGTTTACTTTTTTGTACTGTACTACCCAAATTTTTCACCAGAATTTTTGAGAAAAAAAAACACTATCTTGATCCAATGAAGGTAGAGCCCAGTAGTTAGTATTGGAGGTGTTTAAATGTATATAAAAGTATCTTTTTATTACAGTAGTTAGTTTTCCTCTTTCAAAGAAGGTGCATGAAAAGTACCGTTTGTATATAAAAAAATTAAGCTTTAATTCCACACCACAGCAAAATTTGAAACCTGAATGAAGAGTATCACTGTGTGTGTGACTGCATTTAAGCTTGACTGAAAAGGAGGCACTGTCAATTCTATCCAAATTAAATTCTGCTACAAGATGAAGTGCCTTCAGTGACTACCGATTCTGGATCCGACAACCTCATCACTCCAAAAGATTTCTAAAATATCATGTCATCACTGTGAGCAATTGCTATTGTGAAAATTGTATGAAAGATGTTTTAGTAAAGGAGAGATGATAAACATAAACGGAAGTGAGCACGCACGCACGCACACAGTATTACCCCGCTTAACGCGGTTTCGCTTAGCGCGTTTTACCGTATACGCGGTGCCTCGCCAGAGCCGAACTTTCACTTAACGCGGGTTTTTTCCACGTATACGCGGTGAGTGTCCGGCTCGAGACGCTATTTTCAGATTCGCCCCACCCGCCTGCTCCCGCCTCCTCCCTCCGCTTGGGCAACCTGAGCGGTAAGGTTGCGCAGTGTGTGTCTTTGTTGCGTTATCACTGACGTCATATGACGTATCGGACTGTGATTGGCCATGCATCCCTACCCCCCTTTGCTGCTAGCTGTAATTGGCTTAAAGTATTATGACGTGACCACCCGGGGAAGGGAGGGAGGGAGGAAAGACGACGCTTGACCTAGCCGCGGCAGTTTCATCCCTCCAGGCCGCTCCGTGTATACGTGAACCCATTGTTCTGTAAAATGGCTTCCACCGGACCACCACCGCCACCAGAGAGAGACCTTTCCTTACCTGGACCCAGCCACCCTTAGCCCAAGAAGACACGCCGTGGTCTAAGCTACGAAGTGAAGTACCAGATCATTCAAGATTTGGAGAAAGGAACACGGCAAGTTGATCTCGCGCGCCAGCATGGCGTCAACGAATCTACGATTTGCACTATCAAGAAGGATGCAGCCAAGATCAAAGAGCACATGAAAATCACAAAGTCTGCAGGTGCTTCAATGATCAGGTATTGCCAGAACAGGGTGCTGGCAAAAGTGGAAACTGTGCTGGTGAGTTATTTGATTCGTCAGGCGCGACGCAACATGGCGGTGGACACGCGCTCAGTGCAGGAGTACGCACGTGAGCTATACGCAGCAGTGTCACGTAAGCTGGAAATTGCAGAGCCCAAACCCTTCAATGCTTCCTCTGGTTGGCTGCATAGGTTTAAGAAGAGGAACAAGATCACCAACATCAACATTGGTGGTGAGGAAGCGAGTGCTGACCGTGTGGCGGCTAGAGATTTTCCTCCGTTCTTACGTGAGATTATGGAGGACGGACAGTACACCGACGACCAGGTGTTTAACATGGACGAATCTGGTCTTTTCTGGAAAAAGCTACCGTCCAATACCTTTGTTGTAAAGAATGCCAGCAAGATTCGGGGCCGGAAGATGCAGAAGGAACGCATCACCGTCCTGTTTACCACCAATGCCTCCGGTACCTGTAAACCAAAGTTATCGGTGATTCACACAGCCCGCATGCCTACAATGGACATGAACAAGCTTAATGTCCACTGGCTAACTGCACGTAAGGCGTGGATGTCCTCTTCTCTGTCCCTCTTCTGGTTTGACGACTGTTTTGTTCCTGACGTGAAGAAATTATGCGAGCAACAGAATGTTCCATTCAACATTTTGTTGCTCCTTGACAACGCACCTGGACACTCGCCCCTACTTATGGATCGTCACCCCAACGTAAAAGTGGTCTTCCTTCCTCCCAACACTCCGTCATTAATCCAGCCCATGGACCAGGAGTTGATCTGCAATGTGAAAGCTGCGTACTCGGCAAAGAAGTTCAAGCTCCTGAACGACTCTACCAATACCAAGGATGAGTTGCGTAAGCTGGGTGACACCGACAGCGAGAGTAAAAGCGACAAGGACAAGGAACAAGAGGTGGCGACTCAAGAAGTTCTCGTCAAACAATTTTGGAAGAAGTTTAACGTCAAACAAGCTGTAGACTTCTTGGTGGAGGCATGGGATCAGCTGTCTATTGCTACGATTCGTCACGCATGGAGACATGTGTTGCATGGCATACCAGGTGAGAGGAGGAGTGAACCTGTGACTGGTGAGGTTCAGACTGTTGCAGTAGCAGTGGACCTTGCCAGAGAAGCTGCGCTCAATATTACAGCTGCAGGCTTCTCCGAGACCACCAACGAAGACATCCTGGAGGTGATCAGAGATCCTGAAGTGACTGCCGACGAGATGTTGGAAGAAGATCACGTCAGTGAAGAGGAAGAAGAAGGTGCGTCATTCTCCGAAGAACACAGTTTAACTCATAGTGATATTAAGGGTGCCATGAAGTATGCAGAGAAAATGAAGTCCTTCCTTTCCCGCAACAATGACGATGACCGCTATGAAGTCTTCCATACCCGGCTGGTGCAGGCTATGGAGCCGTACATCACGGTGTATCAAGACAACATAAACACCAGCCGTCAAAAAAGCATAACCGAGTTCTTCGCCCGCAACCCACCACAGCCAGCCCAAGCCAGTGATAGTGAC